AAGATTCTTTTGTGTAACAGGAATACCCACTGCCGTCAGGTCAGGTCTGACTCATAGCAACCCCACCAACCCAGGCGATGTCACTCTGGAAGTAGATTGCCCAATCTTCCTTCTGGGGAGTGGCTGGTGGGTTTGAACCTCCAGCCTTCCGGTTAGCAGTCAAATGCCTTAGGCACTCTGCCACCAGAGCTCCCTTAACAGGAATAGAACTCTGTAATGAAAGGGAAGGCTTTATAAAGGGAGCTGACTAAAATAAAACACTGCATCGAAACCTAAAATACATGAACAGAATTCAAATCCATATTGAGTGCTGAAGTGAAGCAAGATTGAACTCAGAATGCCTGATGCTTTCATTCAATCTTTTGATTCACTTTGGTCTACAGATCTTTTTTCCACTGTAAATTCTGTTCTTTTCAGTCTGAAACTCATTCCACACAACAGAGAACAGGAGCAGTTTATGTAATGGACTTGTGCGTTTGTGAAACTGTACTCGTTACAAGGCTTTGCTGTGTTCTTAGAGTAAGCCTCTATCATGTGTCCTTTTTTCCCCAATTTTGTGTTGAAACTATCATCAGAAGCATTTGTAATTGCCTACTGTCCCTTAAGACTGGTAATTGCCTCCAATACCCATTTCCTTCCATTCTTATCATGATAATAGAGTCTCTCCTTTTTAGCTGGGTATATGGCCACCTAGAAAATGCACTCTATTCCCTAGCTTTTCTCATAGCTGGCCAGTGGAACTATTATGTGTATCTTTTGGAAGATGTTCTTGAAGGGAGAGTGTATGCCCTTCTTCTGCCCTCTTCCTGCTGTTTGGAATGCAGACATTATGGCTACAGCTCAAACATCTGTCGTGGACCAGGAGGAAGAAACCAGGTACACATAATAGCTAAGTAACATGAGATGGAAGGAGCCTGGTTCTGACAGTGCAGAGTGCCATGGCAGCCTTCACTACCTACCTCTGCATGTCTTTTATGTGTGAGACAGATCTTGTTTAAGCCACCATTTCTTTTGGAGCCAAATTTAATCCTAATGATAAACCAAAGGTATGATTTTAAGTTTTAAGAGTTTCTCAGCACATTTGTGCTGCCTTTCAGAGTCTCATACTACAGAATCATACCTATCTTTTCCCAATCTTCTAGAAATCTGCCTTCCTGAAGTCTGGGTGTCCATCTTCACTGTGCCAAGTCATTTCCTTCATAGTTTTCATGAATTCTAAAGCAAGGTTGTTTTTCAGCCTGATTTCTGATACTTCTTTTTCTTAGCCATTTTTCCTTTTCATTGATCAGAAAAAGTCAACTATATATATCTGCCCTTTTATATAGACTTAGAGCTCCTTTGAAGGGATCAACTTGTCTCCAGATAAGCATGGTCTTCTCTTCTACTTCATCCTTAGCCAAATGCCCACCATCCGTGTATATCCAGTAATGGTTAGGTAATCCAAAACTACTTAATCAGATTATCTGCAGTGTTGCCCACTTGCTGTTATGTTGCCCAGATCTTTGTTCTTTTAAATGTACAAGAGCTGGCTGGAAATGGTTGGCTGCATACTTAAATTTGCTTTTCTTTTCTCCAAATCTCTTTGATTTGTTGGAAACATAAAACTAAGAACAAATACAATGTGCAAAGAAGCCATGTTGTTGTTGTTAAGTGCCGTCGAGTCGTTTCCGACTCATAGCGACCCCATGCACAGCAGAACAAAACACTGCCTGATCCCGCGCCAGCCCCACAATCCCTGCTATACTTGAGCCCATCATCGCAGCCACCGTATCAATCCATCTCCTTGAAGGCCTCCCCCTCTTTCGTCGACCCTCCACCCTACCAAGCATGACATCCTTCTCCAGGGAATGGTCCCTTCTGACAACATGACCAAAATAGGTGAGACGAAGTCTGCCCATTCTTGCTTCCAAGGAGCATTCTGGCTGCACTTCCTCCAGGACAGATCTGTTAGTTCTTTTAGCAGTCCACGGTACTTTCAGCATTCTCCGCCAGCACCACAACTCAAAAGCATCAACTCTTCTTTGGTCTTCCTTATTCATTGTCCAGCTCTCACATGCATACCAGGTGATTGGAAATATCATGGCTTGTGTCAGGCGCACCCTAGTCCTCAATGAGATATCCTTGCTCCTCAGCACTTGAAACAGTTCCTTTGCAGTTGACTTTCCCAATGCTACACGTCGTCTAATGTCCTGACTGCTGCTTCCGTTGGCATCGATTGTAGAACCAAGCAACGTGAATTCCTTGACAACCTCAATCTTCTCTCCATTTATTGTGATGCTGCTCATTGGTCCAGTTGTGAGGATTTTTGTTTTCTTTATGTTGAGATATAATCCATACTGCAGACTGTATTCTTCAACCTTCATCAGTAGGTGCCTTAAGTCATCCTCACTTTCAGCAAGAAAAGTTGTATCGTCTGCATATCTCAGGTTGTTAATGATTCTTCCTCCAATCCTGCTACCACGTTTTTCTTCATATAGTCCAGCTTCTCGGATTATTTGCTCAGCATATAGATTGAGTAAGTGTGGAGACAGAATACAACCCTGACACACTCCCTTCTTAATTTTAAACCGTGTAGTGTCCCCTTGTTCTGTTCGAACGACAGCCTCCTTCCTGGTCAAGGTACAGATTCCTCATGAATACAATCAAGTGCTCGGGAATTCCCATTCTCCTCAATGTTATCCATAATTTGTCATGATCCACACAATCAAATGCCTTTGCATAGTCAATAAAACACAAGTAAACATCTTTCTGGTATTCTTTGCCTTGAGCCAAGATCCATCTGACAACAGCTATGATATCCCTTGTTCCACGTCCTCTTCTGAATCCGTCTTGAACCTCTGGAAGTTCTCTATCAATATACTGCTGCAAACGTTTCTGAATTATCTTCAGTAATATCTTACTTGCATGTGATATTAATGATACTGTTCTATAATTTCTACATTCTGTGGGATCACCTTTCTCTGGAATGGGCACAAATATGGATCTCTTCCAGTCAGTTGGCCAGGTAGCTGTCCTCCAAATCTCTTGACATAACTGAGTGAGTGCCTCCAACGGGGCATCTGTTTGTTGAAATATCTCAATCGGTATGCCATCAATTCCTGGAGCCTTGTTCTTCACCAGTTCTTTCATTGCAGCTTTGACTTCTTCCTTCATTACCATTCCTTCAAAAGGATTGACAGGAAGCCAGACAGAGGAACAGTCAGCCACAGGGACCCAGGTGGGGGGGATACGAGAGGTCTCCAACAGCAGGACAAACTTGTCTGTCGGTTTGTCCTACTGTGGTGACATGTAGATGTGAGTTTTGAGGCTGAGCCTCTGGTGTTTAAAACCCAGCGAGATGCACCTGGTGCATAGGTAACAGCCCAGTTTATAGACTGAGACAGACTAGGAAGAAGGAAGAGGCCGTCCACTTCTGAAAGAAGCCATGGAAATACCATTTGCAAGTCCATGTTTCTTACTTCCTGTTTCAGATTAGTGCTAGGACGAATATTTGTCATCAGTTTTAATAACTGAATTATGTGAGCACCTGCCATGCTTCCCAGCTGAAGCAGCCCCTCCCATGCCCCCTTCTCCAGGAAGTTGTACTTGCTTATTCTTCAGACAGATAGACCATGGTAGGACCAAGAATTGGCACCTGACAAGCAAGTCCTGCAGTGACTTGTTGAGAAGGAAGAGCTCTTCTGCTAAGCTAAACCTTTAGGTTTAGGAGAGGATAGCAAATGAGAGCTAGAAGAATGTGGAGTAGAGACTGGGAAAAGCAGATAGAAACAGAAGAAAGCAGGCTGGCCAGCCACATGGTCCAAGAGAGAGTCTGCTGTGACTGAGGCATCTATTGTATATAATGAATAACTTCTCTCATATGCATCTAGAATGGTTTGAAGGTATATACTATCATTGAGAGAACTGAGAAATAGGTACTCAAATAATTTTCTGTATTCTCTGATTCAGAAGTGGTTCTACTTCTTTAACTGGCAGCCAAAGTAATGCAGTAAGTCTTGGCTGGTCGCTGTCCCATTCTAGATACATTGTCTCATTTGGCTGAGGCAGCTTGGGTATAGTCCTCTCCATTTCCCTCCTTTCAGAGTCACCCTCCAGCATGAGTCTTTTCTTCTCCTAGTCCAGGGGCTGGATCCCTTCCTCTTCCTGTTGCCTGGTTCCTCTTTTCCAGAGAGTCCTGCTGTAGGATGAGTTGAAGCTATTGCGTATCTCCAGTGATGCAGTTTCTTTTCCTTCTTCTCCTCCTTTGTGTGACATTTATTTCTTCCCTCTCTGTGTCTTGGCTAGAATTTCATTGTCCATGGCCTCTTGGGAAGCTGCTCCTTCAAAAGGATTGACTCACTCTCTGTGTGGAGAGTCTCATACTCCTTGGGTAACTTCATAGGAGTACTTCATTCTACTTTTCTGGACCAGGTCCTATATTCTTAACCTTTTCTATCAGGTGTTGATTTTCTTCTTTCTGACCGAAAAGAATATCTTGCATTTCCTAGGACTTTTGGTGGTGTTGCCTCCATTCAACCTAAGAACTCTTCATTCTTTGTGCTGCTTAGAATACAGTGGAAAGAGACCTGATCCTTGGGCATCTTCATCTCTACTGTTAAGCATAGCCATCAGCTTGCAATAAAACACATACCATAATGTTTCCCTTTGGTGAGAAGAGACAAATAGCCCCTTTCATGCAAGTACAAGGTAGGGAAAATTCACTACCTAAAGCAACTTAGGTTAACAAAGATGAAAACAAATAGAAGGCACAACATCTCAATTAGCTGATATATTTGGACTCTATAATTATTCTGGTCACCATAGTCAACCAATAGGAGTTTGTCTCCAAAAGGGAGAAGAATCAACTAACCAGGAAGGTGACTTCAGACTATGAAGGGGTCTTTTGCTCTCACTTATACGCCTCTCTCAACTTTAATTGTTTTACCAAAAATAAATGTTTTTATTTTTAAGAATTGTTTTAAATTTCTTTTAAAGTGGTTTTTTTTTTCTTTTTTTTTAAGGTCCATCAGATCATCAAAACTCTCAGAAAACACAGTTATTATTGGTGTTGTACGCAGGTAAACTTTGATTTTTTCCACTGTTGAAATTCAAATGTCAATATAATGCGTGCTCTTACAAATGGTTGAATAATAATTTGCATGCTGTGATGGGCGTGATTCTTTTTAGTTTGGTCTTTTCTCCTTTTCTATATTTTCTTTTCCTTCTCTAGTTAACTTCATGGATGGTGTCACTATAACTTTGAACTACCTTTTACTTTGGAAATAGGCAAACTGGCAGAGAATTCCATTCATAGAATCATTACTGTTTTCCAAGGGTATCATCGTAGGGCCTTGTAATTCTAGATTTCTATGAGGATTTGAGTTTTATAGAAAGGGAGAAAATTCATATTTCATCCTTAAATTAGAGGTGAGAAAAAACTAAAAATATGTGAAAAGAAAGGCAGTATTCAAATAAATGTTAACTAGTTTATATATTTTTATAGATAAAAGAAATATTTCTATATCCCTTTAATTTTTCTCCTGAGCTGTTAGGAAGGGGAGGGAGCTTTTTTTTAAATAAACTGAAGGTAGAAGCAAATAGAGAATTTAATTTAAATTTAACTTTTTATATATTCAATAGATAACTGCACATCCCTATTTCTTGTTGATAATGTAATCTCTGTATTTCAGGTATTAATATATACCACCAAAATTGAAATAGAAAGTTAATTTCAACTTTGTATTTTATACTTTTATATTAATCTGATTCATCTAAAAATGTTAGGTGCTATCAAGTTGGTTCCAACTCAGAGCAACCCTATGTCCAACAGAACAAAACACTGCCTGGTACTACACCATCCTCAAAATATGTGCTGTGCTTGAGCCCATGGTGTAGCCACTGCCCTCCATCTCATTGAAGGTCTTCTCCTCTTTCACTGACCCTCCACTTTATCAAGCATGATACCCTTCTCCAGGGAATGGTCCCTTCTGACAAAATGACCAAAGTAAGTGAGATGAAGTCTGGCCCTTCTCTCTTCCAAGGAGCATTCTGGCTGCACTTCTTCCAGGACAGATGTTTGTTCCTCTGGCAGTCCATAGTATTTTTGGTACTCTTCATCAATGCCACAATTCAAAGGCATCAGTTCTTCTAATTGGTGTCTTTGCTCTTTAACACTTTAAAGAGGTCCCTGGCAGCACATTTGAACAGTGCAGAATGATGTCTGCTTTCTTGACTGCTGTTTCCATGGATGTTGATTGTGGATCCAAATAAAATGGAATCCCTGTCAACTTCAGTCTTTTCTCCATTTATTGTGATGTTGCTTACTTTTCCAGTTGTGAGGATTTTGTTTCTTTATGTTGAGGTATAATCCAAACTGGAGACTGTAGTCTTTGATCTTCATCAGTAAGTACTTAAGTTCTTTTCACTTTTAACAAGCAATATTGTAGGTTGTTAATTCCCAAATAATGATGCCGCATTCTTCATATAGTCCACTTTCTTGGATTTTTTGCGCAGCATGCAGGTTGAATGAGTATGGAGAAAGGATACAACCCTGATGCAACCCTTCCTGATTTTTAACTATATATTATCCCCTTGTTCTCTTAGTCTATGTACAGGTTTCCTCATGAGCACAATCAAGTGTTCTTTTTTTTTTAAATTGTGAACTGTTTTGACAGTAAGTTGTAGACACCATGACACTTTACCTTTGAATACATTAGCTTATATTTTCTTGTGTAATTGCAATATCATTATTATACCCAAGAAATTTAACATTGTTACAATTGTTATTAGGTACTGTTGAGTCACTTTCAGTTCACAGTGACCTCATGCACAACAGAATGAAACATTGCACAGTTCTATGCCATCCTCATTCTTTTTTTATGCATTTTCTTGAAATATAATTTATGTACAGTGACATACACAAAATTAAAAGTGACATGGCTCAATGCATTTTTTCTTTTTTTTTTTTTTTGCAGTGTTCCCTCCCTTCCCCTCCCACCCCGGCAACCAACAAAGAAAGTTTCCCTCCATATATAAACCTTTCCTCAAGCCTCCACAACAATGAACTAATAACTATATTTGTCCTTCTGTGATTGACTTATTTCACTCAGCATAATGTCCTCCAAGTTCATCCATATTATGTATTGTTTTGCAGACTCAACATTATTTTTTTAGTGCTGCATAACATTCCAGTATGTGTATGTACCATAGTTTGGTCATCCACTCTTCCGCTGATGGGCACGTAGGTTGTTTCCATCTTTTTGCTGTTGTAAATAATGCTGCAATGAAGATGAGTGTGCATGTATCTTTCCTATCCTGGCTTTCACCTCTCTAGGATATATATCTAGTAATGGGATTGCTGGGAGCTATGGTAATGTAGTGCCTAAGGCACTTGACTGCTAACCAGAAGGCTGGCGGTTCAAAGCCACCAGCCACTCCTTGGAAGAAAGATGGGGCAATCTACTTCCGTAGTGATACTTCCTCGGAAACCCAAGGAGGGGTCGCTGTGAGTTGGGTCTGACTTGATGGCACATAACAACATCAATGGGATTGCTGGGTCAAATGGTAACTCCAATTCTAACTTTCTAAGGAATCGCCATATTGCTTTCCACAGTGGTGGTGTCACTTCGCAGTCATGCAAGCAGTGTATGAGAGTCCCAATCTCTCCACATTCCCACCAGCATTTGTTATTTTCTGTCTCATTGAACCTTGCCATCAGTGCCAGTGTGAGACTGTATATCTCATTGTTGTTTTGATTTACATCTCTCTGATGGCCAGTGATTGTGAGCATCTTTTCATGTATTAGCTGACCACCTGAATATCCTCCTTGGTGAAGTGTCTATTCATGTCTTCTGCCCATTTTTCAATTGTATTGTTAATTCCTTTGGTGTTAAGGATTGAAGTTTTCCATCAATCTTAGAGATAAGTCCCTTGCCAGATATGTAATTATTGGCAAATATGAATTTGTTGCTGTCATTTTTGTCATTTGCTTTTTCATTGTGTCAATTTCTTTGTTCCATATAATTTTCATGTTATCACTTCCTTCATTGCTATTGTTTTAGTATTTGCTGAATATTTATGCTGGTCCTCTTTTTTATTTTGATGTGAAGGTTTATCATTTTTCTTTGAGGTTACCCTGTGATTTATAGTTTTCTTCCCAAAGTTTAGAAACCACTGAGAAAATTGTCCAGTCCATTCTATCTTGTAGTTGTCTTGACTTCCCTACCATCTAGAGGTTCTGTAATGACACAGATTTTTTTTTTCTGTTTTTTTGGTTTGTAGTTGTCCTCATTTATTGGTTGGTGTCTCTGGTTCCCTGTTTAAAATCTCGTAGGCTTACTTACTTTGGATACTTCCCTAGCTGGGTTGGTTTCTCGGTTATATCATCGTGTGTGTTAATGGTCAGTTGTTGTTGGCTGTTGCTGCTTCTCTGTCCAAAGGGCTCCCTTTAGTGTCTCTTGTAAGGTTGGTCTGGTTTTAACAAATTCCTTTAATTTCTGCTTATCTGGAAATGTCCTAATTTCACCATCATATTTGAGGAACAATTTTGCTGGGTACATAATTCTTGGTTGGAAGTTTTTCTCTTTCAGGGTTTTATATATATCATCCCACTGTCTTCTCGCCTGCATGGTTTCTATTGAGAAATCTGAGCTTAGTCTTTTTGGTTGCCCCTTGTAGGTAACTTTTTGTTTTTTCCCATGCTGCTTTCATGATTCTTTCTTTGTCTTTGGTTTTGGTGAGTTTGATGATGATATGTCTTGGTGTTTTTCTTTTGGAGTCTATCCTGTTTGGGGTTCGTTAGACTTCCTGAATGGATATATTCTCATCTTTCATCACATCAGGGGAGTTCTCTTCCAACAAATCTTGGACAGTTTTCTCAGTGATTTTATTTGTCTTTTCCTGTTCTGGAATTCCAATGACACGTAGGTTATTCCTTTTGATGGTCTCCCACATGCACCTTAGGCTTTCTTCATTTTGTTTTGATCTTTTTTCTGATTGATCCTTTTCCAAAGAAGTATTCAGGTATTTGTCTTCAATCTCATTAATTCTGTCTTCCATTGTATCAATTCTACTCCTTTGCCCTTCTAATGTGTTACCTATTTCTGACAATTTAGTATTAATCTTTGGGATTTCTATCTGTAGATTTAGAATTATTTCTAATTTTTCGTTTATTTTGTCATTTTGTTCTTGTATTTTCTTCCAAAATTCTTCTAGGGTTTTGTCTGTGTTTTCCTTGATCTGTCTCTCAATTCTTTGAAGATACCTAAACATAACTCTTTTGAATTCCTTATCAGGGAGTTCCAATGCTGCATCTTCCTCAGGGATGTGTTTTGGGTTCATATCCTGGAAGTCCCTTGTTTCCCCTGCTTTATCTTGCTTCTTTGTGTGGACTGTGATGCTCTGTTGTCTCCGAGGCATTGTGATGTTTTTGTGTTTATATTTAATTGGTGATTATATGTTGGAGTGATTTGCCCACAGTTTTTGTTTTCTTTGTTTTGTTTGTATGTTATCTATACAGGCAGGGTACTGTGCTGTGCTCCTCTATTCACTGGGTGACAGCACTTATATACTCACCACCTATCTCTTTCCTTTGTCAGCCTCTCATATGTCCTTGCTGACCTTAGCAAACAGAGCCTGTTCTTAGGGCCCTGGAATCCAAATGAGAATGCTATCACTTTAAAATCCAAAATGGTTGCCACTTGTAAACATTCAAAATGGCTGTGCCCTCAGTCACTTTAAATATCCAAAATGGCCACTGCTTGTAAACATTCAAAATGGCTGCTCCCTTGGTCACTTTATCCAAAATGGATGCCATGTGTAAATAATCAAAATGGCTGCACCCTCCAAACAGCAGAAAGTCCATAGCTCAGGTTGTCTCGCTACTTGCTGTTTCCCTTCCTAGTCATAGGTCCCCAGACCTAGAGAAGTTGTCCCTGGAGCCCTTGGTGACTGGACTGATCTTTGGGTCATTTCTCAGGTCCCAGCACCACTTGGAAATATTCAGGCTGTTGATCTCATCAGAGTAGCTGACAGTCTGCAGCTCCGACCGTCTCTCTACTCACTATTTTCATTCAGGTTTTTACACTAGTTGGTGTCTCATTCACTTCTGTATAGTTCCTTTCAAAGCTCAGGGTTCCAGGATTATCTTCTGTATCTCTGTCAATTGGTTTTTCTTTTCTTTGTTGAAGAGGGTCTGTGTCGCTTGTCTGCCTATTCCTCCATCTTACCAGAAGTTATAATCAAGTATCCTGTAATTCCCATTCTATGCAACGTTATCCATAATTTATACGATCCACACAATTGAATGCTTTTTACTTAGTCAGTAAAACACAGATAAACATCTTTCTGATATTCTTTGCTTTCAGCCAAGATCCATCTGACATTAGTAATGTCTAAAAATACTCATTATATATAATGACAGTATATTTAATATATAATATTTGACTGCTAACCAGAAGGTCAGCGGTTCAAACCCACCAGCCACTCCTCAGAAGGAAGATTGTGCAATTTACTTCCATAGAGATACCACCTCAGAAACCCAAGAAGAGATCACTGAGTCAAATCTACTCCATGGCAGTGACTTTTGAGTACTATGTAAGTTAGTGGTTAAAGAAGTGAGATGTACTTGATAACAACAATCTCTAACTTTTTACTACGTTCTTTTGAAGGGGGGATAGAGAAGAATCATCTGTAATGCCCCTCATTGCTGCTGGCTTTACAAGGGTAGGTACCAGCTTCTTTATTAATATAAATATAATTCAGTGTGAAAAAATCATTTTATCTCAGTTCAGTGCTTAACAAAATTTTTTATTTATTTGAAGTTAAAAAAATAAAAATTGTTTTTGTGTACTACATTACACTTTGGTATAACTTTATAAGCAGATAATCTAATCTACCACACTTTACTTTCTTGTTCTCTCAAAGCTATGTCTGCGAAAATCATAAAATGTAATAAAATATTCTCTAATGCTTTGCCCATTAAAAATTATACCATAGGATATATTTTTATAATGCTTATATGTATATATACAACTTTCAAGACCAGTTCAGAGATTCTAGAAATAAGGCAACCCAAACACTGCTGTCTTTTCTTGCACCTCAGCTTTAATCTCTTGGTTTCTCCTAAGCCAAAAATCTGCTGGGGACTTTGGAAAGTAGGGTACAAATGAGGCCTTGGAAATCATGATGGAGAAAACTTATGTAAGGCTGACTCTTAGCAAATTTGTAGCCCAAACTTATCAATGAGATACCCAAGAAACTTCAAGCCATGAAGTTAGTTTAAACTATTTCTGAAAAAGAATACTGCTAGGTACCTGGCATAACCAAATACAAATGTCCATAAGTAATTGTTCAGTAATAACAGGCAGCACTCAGTCAAAACTAACCAATCCACAAAGAATCAAGGTGTCATGACTAAGAACTAGCAAAGTGGGGAGGGAGGACAAGACAGCAAAAATAGACCTTCACACTCCTCAGACAGTAGAATTATCAGACAAGTGTTATAAAGCAATTATGTATATTATAGGTAATGAAATAAAAGCCAACACAAGCTTGAAATTATCAGAAAGGAATAGGAACTTAAAAAGTAACATAACCCCCCCCAAAAAAAGAACTCACTACCATCAAATCGGATCCAACTTATAGTGACCTCTCCTTGGGTTTCCAAGGCAGTATCACTATGGAAGTAGATTGCCCAACCTTCCTTCCGAGGAGTGGCTTGTGGGTTTGAACCACTAGCCTTCTGGTTAGCAGTCAGATGCCTTAGGCACTACGCCATAGAGCTGTCAAAAAGTGGCGTGGCTGATTTTAAACATAACAAAATTGAGGTTTGAGAAATGAAAAACATAATAACTAAAAAATTAAATAGACCAACAGAAACTATCCAGTATGTAGCACAGAGATACAATGCTAGAAAATAAGTTAGAGAGATTAGGAAATGTGGAAAATAGAAGGTGAAGGTTTAGTATATATTTAACTGGAGTTTCAGAAGGAGAGGAGAGAGAATGGGCCAGAGGAAATATTGAAAGAGTGAATGACTGCAAATTTTCCAGAACTGATGAAAGACTGCAGTCTACAGATTGAAAAATTTCAACAAATACCAAGTAGAGTAGATAAAAAGAAGACACATCATAAAGAGTCCCCAAAAACAACAATAACAAAGAGTTTAAAATCAGCTAGAGGAAAAAGAGATCAACATTCAAAAGAATGACAGACTGATAGCTGGCTTCCTGACAGCAACAAATAGAAAATAAAAGACACCAGAATAATGTTTTTAAAGTGGTAGAAGAAAATAATTGCCAACTTAGAATTTTATATTCAGCATAAATCTCTTTCAAAAATGAGGGTGAAATAAAAACTTTTAGAAAGATGAAAATAGAGTTTGTAACTATCAGACCCTCACAAAAGGGAATACTAAAGGATATAGTTCAAGCAAAAGGAAGGCAATCCCAAAAAGATGGTCTGAAGTGTGAGAAGGAATGAACAGCAAAGAAATGGTGAATAATGGGATAAACATTTTCTGTATAAAAAGTAATGATATTGTGTAGTTCAGTTAGCACAGAGAAAAAGACTACAACCTAAGAATTATATCAGCCCTGTTGCTGTTCACCTTTCAGGGCAAAATAAAGATACTTGGAAGTATACATAAAAGTCAGAGATACAGTCCCTTAAGAACCTTATCTGAGGAAAATAATTGATAAAATTATTAAAAAAAACTCAAGATGAGGGAAGATGAAAAGTGGAAAGCAGTGAAGCCTACCACATGCATGTTCTCTCACACTGCTCTCCTCTTTCTGGCTCTCCTTCTCTCTCTGCACATACTTTTGCACATACATATATGTTTAATTTTATCTGTCTGTCAGACTTAAGTGAATAAATGTGCACTAGAACATATGATGCTCTTGTAACAGAAGGGGCATACCAAAAAGGGAAATTTAAATAATAGCTCAGTATTAAAGTTTTAAATGATCTTAGCCACTCCTAGGTGTTTGCAAGGTTTGTGAGGAAGGGGTGGAGGTAAAAGAATATTTAGGAGACATGAAATGTGAATGGGCAGTGCAAGTATCTGAAGTTTTCTTCTTTGTGGGAAAAGCAGAATAGAGCATCTATGTGTAGAAGATACTCTGTGCTGGGGGAGGGGTCTGTTTCACTTGGTCTGATGAGAGCCATGTATATTGGTATTGTTTTTGAAAAGCCTTGCAGGTGATCCTTATAGGCAGCCAAGAGTTGAGACTGCTGGAGGAGACCTAGCAAGGTGGGGCTTAAGTCCTATCAGTGAGTATGATGTGCTTTGGAGAAAGTGAGATTTGGTTAGCTCAGGGAATCTGTAGGATTTGTGTCTCTCACCCTCTCATGGAATGAAATAGGGGAGAGGAGACTGGCTGATGTTTAAGCAGAAGGAATAGTGCCCTGGGCCTAATACCCACTGTCAACCTTCTATGCCATGTAAGATCCTTGAGACATATATAAATAAATATTGAGGAGAGACAGAAAATACAAGATGTTCAGACACAGAACAAGGCGGAGATGATATGGGGGAGGGATATTAACAAGATGCTGTATTTTAGTCACATATGCTAAGTTTTTAACCTTGATTTCTATCTTTGGAGTGAACGTTTGATACGTATGCACTTTCATGCCCAAGGTTGCATTCATGAGTGGCCATTTGTTGAATTGTGTAAATATACTTGTTTCCCCATCCTAAGATCTCACCCACAGAGCAGGTCTTCCACACAACTGGAGACCCCTTCTCCATTTCAAGCTCCTACTTCTTCTCTGCTGGCAGTAGCAAAGGACTGTCTGCTTGGTCAGTAACAGGTGCCTATTCAGACAGGCAATGTTGTTGGATATTCCTGTAGAGTCTGCACTGACTGAGGAGTGGGCTGTAGGTCCAGCACTTTCTTCCCTTTTCAGCAAGTGGGAGCTGCTCCACATGTCACTGCTGTCAGATTTCTGAGGATGAGAAGGGCTTGTGTTTTGGCCAACAGACATGGGATCATCATGCCCATGGCCATTAGCCCTTACCTTCCCTCCTAGGCATGGCAGTAACTGTTACTAACATGCAGTAGTTTGTAGTGAGAGTACTTTCTCCTGTCATCTCATTTAATTGATCTATGGAGGATAAAAGCAGTGTTATTTTTCTAGTTTTACAGGTGAGGAAACAGGCTCAGGAAGGTTAAGTGGCTCATTTAGGGTCATACAGCTTTTAAGGTATGAACCTGGGACCAGGTCATTAGGTTGCCTGATACCCAGACAAGACCCTGATCACTGTTCAGATGGAGGCATTTGCCTTTGCCATCGCAATAGAAGGCACCTCTGGAAGGGGCCCCACCTCAGATTCAGGCTTGTAATAGTAGCCTACAGAGGCCTTGTCTCTTAGGCCTCAGCTTCTTCCTTAGTCAGGTATGGTGTGATCTGCTTATTGAGCAGGTAAAAGCAAAGAACTGTTTACAGAAATAGGGGTGAGTAAATGCTCACAAATATTTTTTACATCTGAATGGAACTGTGACAGAACAAAGTGGCTTCTAAGATGTCTTCATGGAATACATAATTCAGTGGGGTGAATCTTTGTGTCTCAGATCCATGTATCGTGCTTTAACTTCCATAAGTAACTCTATTATGTAAATATTGTTATAAAAAAGAATAAATGTTCCTAGCAATAAGAGATAATGGGTGAATCCATGGGTTCTGCCAGTCCCTTTGCCATGGAAAATAATCATTTATTGGCTTCATTGAGCTGTTTTTAGAGGTTAGTATAGCAAACCACCACTTCTATGTTAGAAAATATGACCTTGGGAGAAATGATGCCAGAGATAATATGGTACAGTTTTGAAGACCAGCAGCTTAGTCATTGCAAATACATTTCAACAACATAAATGATGACTATGCACATGGACCTTGATAAACAGAATACAAATCAATGACAATTATGGAAAGAGAAGATGGCGCAAAGCTCAGTATCATTAGTTGGAATAAGGCCAGGGGTCAATGGTGGTTGTTAATATGCAAGTTCAACTTGAAGCTGAAGAAAGTTAAAACAAGTCCACAAGAGCCAAAGTACAACCTTGAGTGTATCCCACCTGAATTTAGAGACAACGTCAAGAATATATTTGATTCATTGAAAGCTCATAAATGAAGACCAAAGACTTGTGGGGTGACATCAAGGACATCATACATGAAGCAAGTAAAAGGTCATTAAAAGGGGGGAGAAGAGGAGGCGGGGCAAGATGGCGGACTAGGCAGAAGGATTGCACAGACCCTCTTCAACAAAGAAAAGGGAAACCAATAAATACAGACACAGAAGATAATCTTGGACCCCTGAGCCTTGAAGGAAAGGATGCAGATTTGGACTAAACCCCAACTAGCAGAAGAATTTG